TTCGATTTCTTGCCAGTGAAGTTTTCTTCTGTAATAGATCATTAACAGAGTAAAGGATACTTTACTAGTGTGTTGTAATGTGCATAATAAGACATTTGATGCAGACTTATATTTTTATTACACACCAATTGGTACTCGGTGGGGGATGTGGTCAGCTGAGTCAGCATCACGCCTGCTGCTTTTACTTCCCAGGATATTACCTGATATCGATTTAAGGCTCCTATTTGTAACCAATTTTTGGCCAAAACGTATTGAAAAAAGTTGGTTGTGGAGTTTTGACTAATTAAGATAACTGTTGGCAACTGTAACTGTTTCATGTCTCCTTTTTTTAATATGATAAGATTAATTAAGTCTTTCAGTCCTAGGAAATTCTGCCACTTATCAGAAGGCTTTTAAAATGCAATGAAAACTTATGGGTTAATTCCAAAAGAGGCAGCATATACTGTGTTTTTTTCTTCTCGTCTATAGGAGGGTGTGTTAGGGCTCTAGAAGATATTGAAGATTGAAAGGGAAACAGAGGCAGTCTTTTAATCAGGTTGCAACTGGTATTATAACTTATAAGCATGTCAACTCTTTGTATAGGATTGTCCAAGTGCAGAGTTGTCTGTTCTTGATTGATTCTTCTCGTCTAGTCCTGTTCTACCTTTCAGCTACATGTTTTCAATAGGCATCAGGTGTGAGCCTTCATACCTGCTATGTAAGTGAGGCCTCGGATATTACATCTGCCTATCGCTTGCGTAGTCGATCTCTATCTCTGCTTACATAATGTCTGAGTGACAGGGCTCTATGTATTGCACTATCTGGTGGTAGACTTGACAAATCATTTTATTAAAGGAGAAATATACTGTGCTACATGTGACAGATATACTGTGCTACATGTGACAAATATACTGTGCTACATGTGACAAATATACTGTGCTACATGTGACAAATATACTGTGCTACATGTGACAAATATACTGTGCTACATGTGACAAATATACTGTGCTACATGTGACAGTACTTTAGAATGCTCAGACTGAACACAATAGTTTTAAAAACATGACTGGGGCATAGGTAGAGCCGTATGCAACCATTTCTGTCCTCTTGCCAATTTCTCTTTCACAGGTTTTAACCCACTGACTACCAAGCCTGTTAACCCTTTCACTTTCCCAAATACCACATATTTTAGTATGTGCTAAAAATGCCATAGCTTCACAACCATTTAATATAAACTAATAAAATGTTGTACTTTTACACCAGATTTAATAGAGAAAAAAGCTATGTAATCTTGTTTGGCATCATCATCGTCATGTGGCACTCAAATAAATGTAAAAAAAAATTTTTTGACAAGAATTCAGACACAAATTCTGCAGCTTCACAACTATTTAACATAAACTCATAATATTTTCCATAGGATATTGTCTCCTCTGTGTGCTAACTGGTTTGCTAGGGGTTCTTAATATCTGTGACATGGATAAATGCACACAGCTGGTGATGAGTAAACAAGATCTCCGATTATATAGTTTATTCAGCTTTTAAAGGTAATCTGGTCCAGTCAATGTCTGCTACTGGCTAGCACGGTCCAACAAGAAGTTATGGCATTTATCAAGTACAGAATTAAAGTCTACTACCATCCTCACTATTTACCTTTCAGTCCTGTTTCATTACTCACACAATACACACAATGGTTGATCCAGCATCTCTGATCATGGTTGTTAGACTTCCTGGCCGGTTGGAACTCATCCGCTACAACTTCTGCTTAGGCTGTCATCAGGTTGTCATCTAGCTGTCCTCTCATGGAATAGAATCTACTTGAAGTCTACATACAGTTCCATAGTGTCATTCATTTTTATCTTTCTTATCCAAGTGCGACCTTTCACGCCAGCGGCCAAGCACTTACTGATTAGACCTTGGTCTAATCTTTCAACCCTTTTTCTGTGTTTCATGTGCTGGCTTGAGCACTGTTCGTATATCTCGTGTTTCTACGAGTATTCACATTCTCATGTATTTGTCTCTTATCTCATGTTTACTCCTGTATCGTCATTTAGGAAATCCCTCTGGGAAAATACAAACATTACAGCATCTTTGAACCAGATTGAATGGAAAACAGATTTCAAGAATAAAAAATCTTTTTGTGGTTGTACCTTGGTGCAAAAAAAAAAAAAAAAAAGGCTACAAAAAAACCTTCCATCTGACACCAGTATAACTATTTTTTTTTGCTGATATAATCTTGAATAAGAGCTCTGCCTAACTGTGAAATAAAATTCTACAAATTAGGTGGATGTTTGCCATTTTGCACTAAGAACATCTGATAAAATATGACTTAATTGTCAAACTCAAAAAGCTACAAAAACAGTCTTTTCTTTAAACCTGCTTTGCAGGAATAGCATCTAAGTAAACGTTGAGTAAATTGTGAAATGAGTTTTACTCAACTCTAAGCCACAAAGCTGTAATGTGCACAACCTACACTAATAGACGCATCTTACAATACACACCTGAAGCACATACATGAAACTGTTTACACAAACTAATGTAACATAACACACCTACCTCTGACAGCTGCTGTAAGCGAAATGTCACCTTCTAGTTTCGGTGATGTTTTTGATGGCAGTTTGTGAGAATTATCAAAGTCATTGTCATCAAACTAATCTTCACCTTCTCTTTGTGATTGAAGACATTCATGAAAATAGTCCATAGCATCAGAAATATTCCCCAAACTACCCTACCATGTCATCTCTAGCTATCAGCTGTCATTTTCAAAACATTTACCCCTCCCTTCACCAAAACATTCACCTATCTCATCACCAAAACATTCACCCCTCCCATCACCAAAACATTCACCTTTCCTGTCACCAAAACATTCACCCCTCCCATCACCAAAACATTCACTCCTCCAGTTACCAAAACATTCACCCCTCCAGTCACCAAAACATTCACCCCTCCCATCACCAAAACATTCACCCCTCCCATCACCAAAACATTCACCCCTCCCATCACCAAAACATTCACCCCTCCCATCACCAAAACATTCACCCCTCCAGTCACCAAAACATTCACCCCTCCAGTCACCAAAACATTCACCTCCTCCTGTCACCAAAACATTCACCCCCTCCTGTCACCAAAACATTCACCCCTCCCGTCACCAAAACATTCACCCCCTCCTGTCACAAAAACATTCACCCCTCTTGTTACAAAAACATTCAGCCCTCCCGTCACCAAAATATTCACCCCTCCCGTCACCAAAACATTCACCTCTCCCATCACCAAAACATTCACCCCCTCCCGTCACCAAAACATTCACCTCTCCCATCACCAAAACATTCACCCCTCCTGTCACAAAAATATTCACCTATCCCGTCACCAACATGGGAGCTCAACAAATTATTGTAAATTTACTGTAAACACTACGGAATTGTTTCCTATAAAGAAACTTTGAGAAATGAATTGGCTAACGGCTTCAACCACATTTGTCACAAAATTTTTAATTTTTACATTTTGGTGAGTGTGCAAGGTTACATCACAGTGGATGTATTGTGGTAGCCAGTCGTAAACATTGACAGATTGCATAGTGTGTTATTATGGTTGTCAGTGGGTTAATAGCTTGAAATTTCATCTCATCTTTGGGTGGCATTTGTATAGAAGATACATTAAGGTTAGTTGCGTATCCTTTACAGGACGTTGCGGAACCAATCCCAACAGCCCCTGGCTGTTGTGTGGTTTTTCTAGGCAAATTTATGTCTTGTCGTTTCCATTACTTTCTGGATGGTCGGCTTTCTTGATACCACTGTCGAAACCAACGCAGGGCGCATGGCCCGCAGCTGGGATCAAACCCGGCATTACGAAGCATTTGCATCGACTTAGCCACAGAGCCGACAGAAGATATATTAATTCTTTGAGTCCCAGGGGGTTTTAGCATCACAGGCCCAGGGGGTAGTAAAGAAAGTAATAAAATCGGCGCATCATGCGTTCATTGGGCTTCTAGGTAGGAACCTATGAACGTATGATGCGTTCCTTGGGACTCAAAGAGTTAAGGCAGGTAAATTCAAGAGGCTAGATATGATCAATGTTATAAAAATAAAAGCCGTTGGTGAACTGGGTTGAATAGTGTTAACATAATTGATGAATGGCATCTGCAGGTGTAGGAGATGACAAGCTGTCGAGAGGTATGATCACCCACACCAGTCGACAGCGCACATGATGTTATTGAAATCTGTTTTTACTTCTATTTAGTCACCTTTGACATGCTCCCTAGGGTAGCAGTGGGTCCACCCACCCAGCCCCCCCCCCATCCCTAACCACCTAACCCATGTGGAGAAATCTTCGTTGACAGTTCTGATTTTGAACAGTGTCACACGCTGTCTCTTGCTAGCTTTTAATTATGATATAGTTGAATCATCATCTTTTATGTGCTTTTATACGTCCCATAAGGCTCACAGATTATTCTTCCATTCTGTCATGTGGGCTTATTTCAATATCTTGGATGAATCAGTCCAGCACCATTTACCTCTTTTGTCATTCTTTGTAAGGTTCATTTTGGATGTCCCTGTTTCCTTAATCCATTTGTTTCTCATTTAAATGCCTATTTAGTGTTTCTCTGTTTGTTTATCCATATGATGTGCCCAGTATATTGCGATCTACTTTGTCCTTGAACATTTATATCAGTGGTCGTCCAGGTATTTGATCTTATTTATTCACCAGGTCTGTAAAATGAATGTGTTCACAAAACTCAGGTTCTGGAACAAGACTAAAGTCCAGAAGTGGACGAACAACCATACATTTTCCACTGAAGTTTACAGCCAGTGAAGAAGAAGAATTTGTTGCATTTACTGTACATTTTCCTTGAGCATTTGTTTTATGATGCATTTACTTTTCCATGATATAATTGAATAGAGCTCAATTTTTTGTTTCAGTGGTAAAATTGAATCCACCTTTGGGGCTGGGGGGGGGGGGGGGGGGGGGGGGATAGTCTATGATGTAAATAATTACAGCACATTATTTTCTGTTTTCTCTAAAGGTATATGCTACCAGCAAATCGAGGTTGTTTCTGTTGTGAGCCTTCAGCTGCAAACTCCCAGGAGATGCAGGATCAGCAGCTTCCAGGGCATGGTGTTGCCAGTTTGTCCAGCCTCTCCACGGAAGCCAGTCACTCATTTCTGATGCATACTCAAGCAGGCTCCGCAAACAGAGCTGATTTAACCCTTGGTGCGCATGAAGCCAATGGTGGCGGTCAGCAGAACAGTTGCACTGATGGTTGGAATGGTGCGTCAGGAAATGACATATCTGATGAGTTTGAAATGGGACAGGGTTCAGGGTCACACAGAGTCTTCAGCTCCGTAAATAATCTCTCCATCAGTGATAATATCAGGAGTGAGGGATGCTCGTGGAACTTCCATGCCCTGCAGGAGCGGGAGTTGGGAGGTAAATCCTTGCGAATGCCAGTCGGTGGAACAGAACGGCTGCCTTCAGCTTCCGGTATTTTGAGTTCAGGTGAATACGGAGTAACCGTGGCTGGGGGTGTTTGTGATAAGCTGGCTGCGGGTGCTGCAAACAAGATCCGTGCCGATGTTATGGATATAGATGGTGCTCTGGATGAACTGGGTATGCTCAGTTCGATCACAAACAGCAGGAAGGAATATCTTTTGGAAACACGAAGCCAAGATTCCTATATGAAACAGGAACGAAGACTTCACTCCAAAAGTAAGAGCTCTCCAAATCTCACAGCGCTGAGTCATCCTAATGGTTATCGTATCATCCAGATGAATCCGGATTTTGTTACAGGACTTAGTAGTACAGTTCCTTTGCCAAGTCAATCTTCCACTGCTTTGTCTAGTAAACCGCTTCCGAGGTCAGATTTTTTCCGACAGATGGAATATCGTGCTCCAAATGTTCTTCAGGAGGCTTCAAGACGCCGGTCTGGTCCTCAGATGTCACGCATACACAAGGACCGGTACTTGTATCGCCGATCTCGGTGCCCGTATAAAATTCCAAATAGACTCTGCACGTCTTTGCAGGAGCCCGATTTTGGAGCCAGCTATTTTGACACCTGCGCTAGTTCATTTGATACCTCAGTGTCGTCATCTTCATCATTATCGCTAGAACCAAGTGTAAACACATTGTCTATTGAGCTGGCAACTTGCCAGCAGCCATCAGAATCCAAGTCAAACTCATCATCACCTCTGAGACCCTTTGCGGACATGAGACTAACAAGATCTTTGTCTGCCGAAGACCTGGCCACCACATGCAGACGTCTCAAACAGGAGTTCACTGACAAATGTCGAGAAACTTCTAGTGCAGAGAAAAACTTAGATATGATGACATCTCAGATGACAAATCTTCATATGTCATAAGCATTGCTTGACATATTGTGTCATATTAGATAGCTGATGGATTTTCAGACAGTCATCTTTTTTGCCCCTGGAACGTGTTGTGACCGCTGGAAAGAGTTGCAAAAAGAGACAGTGACAGCTCGAGAAGATTCTTGACAACCTTTTATCGTGGCATGGAGAGGAATTAGCGTGTAAGCTGTTAAAGATCACATGTTGTGGAAAGGTATGCTCGCTAATACCAGTCAGCAAAGCACCTGATGATAATGATAAATGAATCCACGCTCAGTCGTTCTCAAAAACAGACTGAAATGTTCTAAAATTATGTTATTTCAAGATTTGTTTATTATGGACTAAGCTTATGTGAATTTTATATCATTTTAATTCTGTATTTATTTTCAATTTACATATTAGATGAAGCCAAAACATGATAATAATGTTATTTTTGAAGAGAAAATATGTAGGGCATATAATTTAGTTTTTAGTTTTCAAATATTATCTTAACTCAGTGGAGACTTAATAAGGAGAACTTACTGGGAACTCTAGAAGTAATTCTTCTTATAAGAAATGTTTGTTATCCACATAAGAGTACAAGCAGAAACAAATTGTTCTTGACAACGGAAAGTCACCATATCCGAGACCGCCTTGAGCATAGCATTAAATTCCATGACAGCTCAGTACACCATAACTGGGTCAATGTCATATGTGTCTTCCTATCTGTAACACATTTTAACCCATCTATCTGCAACACATTTTAACACTTATTTTAGTCCAGCATGTACATTGTGCAGAAGAGTAGGTCAATCATGTGCCATCTCCACACTAAGTGTTGGCAGCTTTGGATCGTGACACACTGACTCTTGCCTGGTTGCACCTTCTCAGTGCAATCATGTGTCATCTCCACACTAAGTGTTAGCATCTTTGGATCGTAACACACTGACTTTTGCCTGGTTGCACCTTTTCAATGCAATCATGTGCCATCTCCACACTAAGTGTTGGCAGCTTTGGATCGTGACACACTGACTCTTGCCTGGTTGCACCTTCTCAATGCTGTTTGTCCATCAGTTTATGTTCTCCATCCTGTGCCTCTTTGGGTTTTTTACTCACATGCTTGCAACTTCTTCCTCCAGTATAGTTCTTGAAATTTAATAACACTGGTCTCTTGTGCAGGAGACCGAGGCTCAAATCCTAAGTCTTCTTTTCGTTCTCCCTGCCAATGTTTTTCATATGAAAAGAAGGCTAGATGCCTGTTTCAAGTCTGTGGCATGACACATGTCTTTCTCTGTTCCATACATCTTGGTTTCCATTGAAATGCCAACAGGCCAAACTTGGGATCTGTTAACCGTATGTAGAGAGTATGTAGAACATGTTCAGTTCAGTATTCTGTTCTACCTGTCCACACGGACAAAGTTCTAATGTGGTACCTGTCCACATGGACAAAGTTCTAATGTGGTACCTGTCCACATGGACAAAGTTCTAATGTGGTACCTGCCCACATGGACAAAGTTCTAATGTGGTACCTGTCCACACGGACAAAGTTCTAATGTGGTACCTGTCCACATGGACAAAGTTCTAATGTGGTACCTGTCCACATGGACAAAGTTCTAATGTGGTACCTGTCCACACGGATAAAGTTCTAATGTGGTACCTGCCCACATGGACAAAGTTCAAATGTGGTACCTGTCCACATGGACAAAGTTCTAATGTGGTACCTGTCCACGCGGACAAATTCTAATCAGCAATCTAGAATTTCTTGTATATATTTATGCAGAGTTTGTTGTGTGCAGTATGCAATCTAAATAGAATTGCCTGTTTCTTTGGTATGAAGAGTTGATTGGATCTTCAGGATTGTGTCCTTATGGGCACTCAACCCACACAGTTCATTGTGTGCATCACTAGTCATGCAGCGCTTAATCCTCAGGCTCAAAGAGCGCACCACAAAAAAGATTAATACAGGCAGTAAAAGGACCCTTTTCCACACCTTTAGGCATATATGGCTAGGCCTATATTTTAAACACCAATTGGCAGTTGGTAGGTGATTTGGTAGGTGATGTGGTCAGCAAAACCCCAGCTGCCTTTACTTCCCAGGACTTTATCTGGAACCCATTTAAGGTTGGGTCAACCTGGAAGCCAAGGTTGTTTTTGAAAAAAAAGTCCAGCTTCGTTAGAACCTGAATCCACGACCTTGCATTACACAGGCAAGCATCAAACCGCTAAAAGCACCGCAGCTTCAAATAGAGGCAGTAATGGCAGGTTTCATGGTGTTTTGTAAAGACAGTATAGATCTTATATGAGTGTAATATCTTTTAATATGCTCAAAATATTCCACTAGTCTTTTTTTTAATTGTACATTTTTCAGCAACCATCTTTTCATTCTCACTGTAAACTTCACACAGCAATAGTCGTGTATGCTCTATGGCAGTTCAACTAGCGGCCCTCAGAGGCCTAGCAAATGTATCCCACGAATCACTGTCAGTTGTATTAGTGATATTTTAACACTGCGGTTCGGGTATCTGGTCCCGGACAGTTCCCCATTTTTCAACAGTTTTTGTTCCCTGATTAAACTTAACTGAACAGTTCTGCACTTTGGGGCCACATTCTACCCAGAGCAGTAATTATTCTCAGAAATGAGATGAATGTATTTGCTTTTTGAATAGTATGACCTACACTGAATGTTGATTCTCTTACCATAGTGTCACTACGAAACATATTAATATTACAGGCTGCTTCCTGTTTCTTTAAATATTATGTTCTCTTTATTCTTCGCGCCCACCCTCAGAAGGGCAGATGGCAGGCAGTGTTGTGGTTGACAGTTTTTTTTGCTACCCTTTATACCCCAGTGCAGCGTAGGCCCTCAACCAACTCACGCCGGATTATCCTGTCTGTTGCAGTCGCATGCAGCTCACCCCATGTCCTCCCCATCCTTTTAATTTTACACTCTAGCTCCCTTCTCCATGTTTTTTGGGGGGTAGGTTCTGCCCTTATTTTATGCTCGTATGAACGCTAGTTTAAGGACATTATAGTTGTATTATTATCAGGTTGTGGTTTACAGTTAGGCTGTGATATCTGTACCTTTCATCTCAGCACTTCTGATTTCAGCAAACCTTTATTTCACGGTTATTTAGATAAGGTTACTCGGGGCCAAAATGTTGAAAATGAGATCGTCGCGGGCCGGAAGCCCAAGCCTCAGTATAGAAAGATCATTAATACAGTATGGTTGGCAATGATCCACAGGCCACTTGCTAGGCCTCAACACCAGTTAAATAGTCCTGCTTTATTTATTTATTTTTAAAATATATTGACATGCTCAATTAATCAATAGGGGCCCACTCTTGTCCCTCCAAAATGGGGATCCAGAACCCATATTCGAACCAGTGTAGCTCCATTGACACACACAAAATATTAGTACAGTAGACCTTGTTGACTTTTTCAGAACCAAACAACTCGCCATAGGTTTCTCGGTCTTTCCAATGATAATACGAAGTTCTTGTTCTCTTCTACCCCAGACAGAAGTTATTGTAACCCTTTGTATTTTTGGAGTCCCTGGCTTAGGCGTTGTAAACGGGCTTCCTAATGTTGGGCAGGTTCAGTCCCAGCTGCAAACAGTAGTCTTGCATTGGTTTCGACAGTGGTACCGAGAGCTGACATAAAATGTGCCTAGAAAAGCCACAACAGTGGTTGGTTGTGCAACGTCCTTTAAAGGATACGCAACTGATTTTTAAAATCTAAATTATTAGTTTCAACTGCTGTTTCATTGTGTCTATGAGGAACTACCTAAGTACTTATTATTCTAAGCTCAACTTCTTTGAATATAAGAAGCTGAAGTAACAACTGTTTGGGACTGAAAGCATTAACATGAATTAATGAGGACCAAGAAATGAAACAACTGTTTGTGACTGAAAGCATTAACATGAATTCACGAGGACTGAGAAATTAAACAGCTGTTTGTGTCTGAAAACATTACCATGAATTCATGAGGACCGAGAAATGAAAAGTATGTGCTAACCAGGAACTAAGAATAATACATCCCTGCTGGGGTCAACATTTTGTTCATGTTAACAAAGTGTTCTTTTTAAGGGAGATTACTGTAATGTGGAGCTGTGATGTTGTTCTCGAAGACTGAACACCCCATTAAAAGGTCATGTATGTCAGTAACATTTCTGATTCTTCTTCTTCACGTTCTCCAGCTGTAAACTGTGGTGGAAAGTTCTGGTTGTTCCTCCACTTCTGGACTTAAATCTTGCTCTAGAACTTGAGTTTTGCATTAAACAGAAAAAAATAGATCCACTGCCTCCCAATAAGCAAGTCATAGGAGTAGACCAACTGGGGCATCCATCGAAGTCGGAGTACATCTGCCTGAAAGGCAAGGAGCCAAGAATCTGGCAACCACAACTTATCTGTCCAGGGGGTCCTGTTCATCCGAAGTGTAGCCTTTTCCATCAGGCTCAAAGTCTTGTGAATTCAACAATAAACACAGTGTTCACCAGTCACTGGAGTCTGACACAAGACTTGAATACTTATATGTGAAGTACTATAGTGTTTATAGTATAGGATAATATATTCAAGGAGAAGGTTTCTTGTTACTGTTAAAATGTTTCTATGTTAGACTCTATGCCACTCTCTGGTCATGGCAGTTGTTGGCAGCATGACCACATATAAAGCTCTTGGGCGGAGGACACAAGCTGATGGTGATTATCAAGAAACAGGAGACAGTTGTCATCTCATGGAGCCACTGACATTGGTGCCTAGGCCTGAGTGGGGCGTTCACTGAGGATCCTTCAGACTGTAGGCAGTATGCTGGTTACAACTGATATGTGTTAGGATACCGATAATTGACCTGTCCTCCATATTTTAGTAACATCCCATGCTCATGAAAGTTCCCGGGTGAATTGGTGATTCAAATGGAGGTAAGCAGATAGATGGATAAAACAGCAAGCCGTCTGCTTAGTCTGGAAATCTGGTCAAGAATGAGTCCCAAATCTAAGCGTCTCTCTAGCTAGAGGCAGGAGGGGATTCATCCGCAT